AAAACTTTAAAAAAAAAAAAAAAAAAAAAACAAGAAAGAAAAAGCAACCCAGGACAGGCAGGGGAAGCAAACAAAACCTACATGTGGCAGGCGACAGCAGAATATCCAGAGCCACAGCGTGGAAGAAAGGACCCTCTGGGACCATGGGAGCCAGCCTCCAAGCCTCTGGCCTCTCCCACTGTACTGGCCCCACACACTGCTCTGGAACCCTGACACCCACCCCCTACCTCACCCCACCCCCCAGCACCCCAGCAGCCCTTACAACACAAAGAGCAGTAGCTTGTCACTTGTGACACACTTGTACAGGTTCAAGACGTTCATGTCTCATTAGCAAGCCCACATTTATTAGAATAACCTCAGGTCTCTTTCCTTAAAGACACCACATACCGCCACCTCTGGACAGCCTTAGCTGGTACCAGGCTTCCTGTACAGAAAGTAATTGCTGTTTTCGGGGGCCATACTGAAGAAACAGGATCTCTCTCTATTGTAACGATATCTCTTTCTGCCAGCTGCCTGAGTCCTGCTGCCATGTTCAGGCCCCCAAATAACACACAGAGACTTAAATTAGGTACAATGCTGCTGGCCAATTACTAGGATTTCTTATTTGTTAGCTCTGTCTTAAGTATCAACCATAACCATTAATCTATATATTTTATAAAGACTTATCGAGGATGCCAGCAGCATGTGTCCTCTCTTGCCAGGATCACATGGCGACTCTCCTCTTTCCTACATTTCCCAGAATCCTCCTCCTCTCCTAGCCCCACCTAACTTGCTTCCCTATTGGCCAACAGTGCTTTATTTATCAACCAATAAGACAAACATGAACTAATAAAAAATTAATTAAAAAAAATAAGACAAACATGTATACAGAAGGACCTCCCCCATCACTCTATTATGTAGCATTGGCTGTCCTGGAACTCACTATGCAGACAGGCTGATCTCCAATTCACAGAGCTCCACCTGCCTCTGCCTCCTGAGTGCTAGGATCAAAGGCATGCCACATCACCACCCAGCTATGGCCCTGTATTTTTTTTAAATTAAGGATTGATTACTTTTTTCCAAATGTGATGATGTTATTATTTACTAATTTTAATTATTTATGTGCACATGAGTGCAGGTGGCCGTGGAAGCCAAAAGGCTTCAGATGCCATGGAGTTGGAGTCACAGGCAACTGTGAGATACTCAGTGTGGTACTGAGAAGAACCCTTGGGTCCTCTGAAAGAGCAAGCAGAGATCTTAATGGCTAAGTCACTTCTCCGGTTTTATTTTCCTGTGTATGAGTGTTTGCCTGCATGTAGGTATTGTTATGTTTTTATTTTAAAAAAAAGGAAAAGAGAAAGCTTTAAGATGAGACATGTTGACTAGTTTATTATACGGGCCCAGCAGAGTAGGGAGACTAAGAGAGAAGAGGAACAGGGGTAATGGCTGACTGCCATGGCCGGTCGCCATAGAGGCAGAGAGAGTGCATAGGTGAGAGAGAGCCAAGAAGAAACAGAGGAGAGTAGAGAGTAGAGAGAAAGCAGAGAGAGAATTTGGAGCTTTTAAAGGGAAGACTGCGCATGCCCACTGAGGTTCCACGCATGCCCAGAGTCTTCAGCAGGCCGTAATGCATGGCGGGTGATGTGGTGATGACATAGCACGTTTTCTTGTGGGTGCCCCGCCTGTGTCAGGGGGCGGGGTCTGTCTCTTAAGGAGGTAGAGCTGATGAGCATCAAAGCCTGAACCTTTCATTCCCATCTCTACTTATTATTAAAAAAGGTGGGGTGTTAGACATGGCAGGTTAAGGAATAAGGGCATCAAATTCTCAAGACTGCTTCCTGCTGATGTGGGGGGTGTTGACCATCTTTGGGGGGCCTGAGAAGGTTGGGGTGCTGCTATGTCCTGGGGTAGCTGGTTGTTTCATTGCAGTCCAAGTTGTACAGAACTCCCTGACGCCTCTTAGACCTGTTTGTTTGGATTCAATTCAGCTCCCTGGAACTTACAAGAATCCTTAGAGTTTGTGGAATCACATGTATTAGACACATTCGCAGCATATTCTTGTTAGAAGCAACTTGGCTGAAAGCATTACCATTTTAAAATTGACAGGTTTTTTTTTTTTAGGACAATGAAAAGCATCTTAACCTTGACCTTATAGTTATGATCGTTTAGTGGTATTGTTGAACTTTATTATGAACAGTAGCATGAGAAATAGAGAAATCAGGAACATTTCATTCTTTTTAATGTCTCAACTCACTTTATCATCACTTAAGCCTTTTTATCCTCAGACCTTTATAACTTTAATTCATACACCTTACATTACCATCTTAGACCTTCCATTCTCAGACCTTCATAACTTGCATTTATCCACCATGCTAGACCTTTCCATCCTCAGGCCTTCGTAACTACATTCTCAGACCTTCATACATCTTACACTTTCCTATCTTCACATAGATAAACCCTAAAATACCTGTTCCTGGAATCTGTTTGGCTTTAAGCTGGCAAGGCTACCATTCGTCAAAAGCATCAGAGTTCTTGAGAAGGATAAGATTTTACCTGAATCAATGAATTAAAGAATAACAGAGACTTGCCATCAGGCTGCATGGACAGCCACCCCCAAGGTCCTCCGTCCATAGTAGCAGGCTGCAGGACACCTGCCTTCTTGCTGATAGCATGTGACCTTTAGCATGTGACCTGTAGATTACAGACTATAGGAAGACTCGCCTACCATTGGCCCAAGCAACGCGGGGAAAATCGATTCCACTGTCATCTTGTCCACGGTCTGGAGCACCTTGCAGCAGTTGAGGTGAAGGGCAGGGTTGTTCAGTGACTAGCGTTGTCATTGACACAAGATGAAGTTTCTTAAGTGCCCATTAGTCTTCTTGGAGGAAATGGGGTGGGGCCAGCAGCTGGCCTATCTCTCTGTTATAAAAAGCTTTTTAACAAAACATTTTAAATGCCATATTCTCTAGATCTCTGAGCATTTGAGGGCTGTCTGTTTAGTATCTCAGCAGTTAAGTTTGCCTTTAGTTAGAGAAAAATCCCTTTTTGTAATAAAAGCTGTACTTTTGTAAATAGCTTATAGGATGAACTGAGTATAAATATTTTGTTAATTTGAAATAGACCTTTGTGATTTTAAATTTTAATCAACATTTAAAGATACATGAATTAAATTTAAGTTGTATAGACTTAGCTTATATTTTAAGTATAGTTAAATTAGACCTTTATGACTTTAAATGCTTACCATCATTTCAAGATACATAGCAATTTAGAAATATGAGACTTAGTACAGTTTAATTTAAGTTGCATAGAGCTAGATAAATATTAAGTTAAATTACAGGTACAGAGACAAGCAGGACTGGATAACAGTAAAAGGGAATCAGAATGTAATCTCTGATCTGTACATTGTAGCAAACAGACAGGAGATTTAAAGGGACAGAGTAGACTTAAACAGAGGGCCCTGGAAAGACATAGTATTCCATAAACAAACCATGAACAACAGAGCCAGTGAAAGAAGAAATCATAGACAAAAAATAAAATAAAAAGCAAAAAGACCTGGCAGAAATAAAAAATCCAGCAGATAGGTTTGCTGGCACAGGCCGCTGGAGTGGGCATGCCTACAGGTAGGTCACATGACAAAGATGGTGACAACCATAAGCCAATGTTTTGTCTGTTTATCTGCTTGTTGGCTGCAACCAGAAAGGTTCCTCTATGCATTTCCCATGGGTGAGGCAGGTGGAGAACCGGCAAAAAGCTCCTCTACGGATTCCTCTATGCATTTCCCATCGGTAAGACAAGTGGAAAACAGGCAAAAGCTCCTCTCCGGATGCACGTCTGCCCGTGGGAGTTGCCAGGGGCCTGGCCCCAAAGGGGACACAGCTGTCCCGAAACCGAAAAAGGACCCAGCGGTCCGAACTGAAAAAGCAAAAAAGCACCATTCCTGGAGCGGGAGCCCATGCCTGACCCTCAGGAAATGCACCCAACAAGTGAAAGAAGAAATCTGGTGGCAGTGCTTGCCTGTGCAAGTCACTGAACTGAGTGGGCAGGCCTAAGCTAGGTCACCTGGTTAGGATGGCACATGACCAAGATGGCGGCCCCCAGGTTAGCGCACATGGCCGAGATGGCGCCCCCGTAAGCACATTCTCAATTGCTGGAAGAAGTTTTTCTCCATGAGTGAGGCAGTAAGAAACAAACAAAACTCTCAGAGCGTTTCAAGCAGACACTGCCAAGAAGAAACACAGTCAGAGATAGACAAAAAGATGAGGGACATTCCCAGGTGAAAGAAATTTCCCACTGCGAGGCAGAACTCTGCTCATTTACCTACTCGTTGGCAGTAACCGAAAGATCCTGTAAAATGTATTTCCCGTGGGCAAGGCACAGATTGTTCTGTCTGAGAGCACCCGGCAGAAAGCCCAAAAGAGGCTCAGCAGTCCGAAACCAAAAAAATGTACCCAGAGTGAACTCCAAAATGTAGTGCTGTGTCTGCCCCTTGGGAAAAGTTATGGGTATCTTACCCAGATGAGTGAGTTCCAGAGATCCTTAGTTGGAAAAGTGGTAAGTTGAAGTGTACAGAGTTTTGGCATCTCAGGCTGCTGCAGGCAGGAGGAAGTGTCAGAAAAAGCTGAGATGGAAGTGGGTTATGAGTTCAGATTTTAGGATCCCCGAAATTTCCCGTGCCCATCGCAGGAGAAGTTAGAGAGAAAGCCTATCCCACCAGCAAGTGTCGGGAGAGCTTACGGAGAGAGCCTAAACCAAGTCTGGCACCAATGTTATGTTTTTATTTAAAAAAGGAAAAGAGAAAGCTGAGGGATGAGATATATTGACTAGTTTATTATATGGCCCGGCAGAGTAGGAGACTACGAGAGAAGAGGAACAGGGGTGATGGCTGACCGCCATGGCCAGGTGGCCATAAGACAGATAGAGTGTAGGTGGGAGAAGAGAAGAGCAGAGAGAAGAGTAGAGAGGAAGAGAGCGTAAATGGGCAGGGATCTGTCTTTTAAAGGGGTCCTCTGTACCTGCGTGCAGACTTAGTTCCCATGGAACCTTGGGCTGACCAGGGTACTGCCTGTTCCACCAGGTAACGGGCAGGCCAGCATAATGCCTGAACCTTTCAAGTGTTATCATAAAATATTTTAAGTTGGTTTCCTTATCATTTTGTATGTCAATAGTTAGCCATTTGCTGAATGTCTAATATGGTTTGAGAATATTAAAGCCTGGACTCAATAGTCAGTGCCCCTGTAGGAAGCTGCAGAGCAATATAAAGTGTAAGTAGGTTGGGTGTCAAGTGCTGGGTTCTTTACAGTGCTCCACCCCCTAAGCATCTTGCAGTTTAATACCTAAACACCTGAATTATGTAAAAATGATCAAAACAATAAAATTTATCCCTTTAAGTCTTTTGTATAAATCTTTAAGGAGATAGGATTATAAATGTCAATTTAATGTTCTTTTTTTGTTCTTTTAATTTTTTCTAAAATCAAAAAAAAAGATAGACTTTTTTTTTATGTGTATGGGTGTTTTGATTGCATCTAAGTAAGTGCATTCGGCATTTGTCTAGTTCCCAGGGAGGTCAGAAGACAGCATTGTATTCCCTAGGACTGGAGTAAGGCAGTTGTGAGCTGCTAAGCAGGTGGATTCCCTTTAAGAGCAACAAGGGCTTTTAACTGCTGAGCTAACTCTCCAGCCTTCCCTTGTTCCTGATGGACACATTCCCAAAAATGAGGATAAATTTTTGTGAAGAAGAGAAACTGTGACATTGAGATATTGGTTGCTTTTTTTTTTTTTTTTTTTTTTTCCCCCCCTCTTTTAGAAAAACCCAAAAACAAGGAAAGCATGTGTGTGTCATGTTTGTGGGGCTTTAGTCAGATCCAGCCGATTGCCAGGTTCGTACCTGAGAGGGAGAGTGTGGATTGAGAAAAGGCAGGTAAAGTCGTTAAGGATAGACAGAGACACAGAATAGAGTCAGGGCAATGCAAAGAAAACTGAATGTGCCAAGTTTATTCTTCACCATTGTTAAATACCTCAACCAAAAAGGGAAACATGGCAAAAGACTTCTTTATCATGTACAAGGAGCACACAGACTTTCTTCCTTAATTCTTCAAACATTTGGTTGTAGCATCCAGCGCTACAACTTCTTATGGGTTCAAGCTAGGGATCTGCAGATTTAATAAAGACAAGATAGCCAGTCACTCTTGAAAGAAGAATGCCAATTTTATTTAGAGGGGAGTTGATTTATATACCAACAGCAGTGCCCTAGGAAGTGACTCAAATCAAAGTTCAAGCTCTTAAGCCCCTGGCAATATGCAGATACTCTGTATATTTTGTAAACAGGCCTTGTCAGGAAGAGGGAAAACAAGGAAGTAGCACCTAGCCTTGAGACAGCAGGTAGCTCCCCAAGGGGAACTGTGGATCAACTTTAGATAAGAGAAGAAAAGCAGACTCCCAGGAGTCCCCCACATTTGGTTATACCACTTTAGACTATATCTGGTCTTGAGGGTCAAGAGTAACCACACCTCAGACCAAGTCTGTTGTTATTCAGATAAGACATCCAAGAACAAGTTGAAACATCCTACAGTAGCCATACCTTACCTTTATGTTTTATGACTTTAACCTTAGAAGACTAAGGACAGTTTGGAACTCTCTGACCTTAAGTCAGGATGAAGCTGAGCCATCTTTGTGGGCACAGACATAGATGGTAGCCTAAAGGCTTACAAGTAAACTGTAAATACAGAGCAAACCTCCATTGACTTGCAACTTGAATAAATTAATGCCTGTGACTTAGAAACTCAAGAGTTAAAATGTAAAGTGATAAGGATAAATGTGACCATGTTTAAAATCGAATTTCTTGGTTCTGTGACTAATACTGTTACTTTTGTCTAGTTAGTTAGCTATAGGATTAGAATAATTAGGCATATAATTTGGGAAGTAACTAATTTACATACGAAAAATAACTAGAGTTATTTTAGGCTGTTTTATTTTCAAATGCATATTCAAAATGTTTAAAGAAACTTTTCTTGAATATAGGCATAGCTTCATGCTCAGCATCTTGCTGGCAAGATGAGCCAGTTGACCATGTTTCTTTGTAGATACTGGTGTCCAAGCACAAGAAAAAGGGGGTGCCTATTTTCAGGTTTTCTCTCAATGGATTTTTACCTTTGGGAGATTATTCAATCGTCTTGTAAAATTATATGCCCTCTTGTGCTTTGGCTTGCACTGTGTTGTGTTTCTTTTGATAATGGTGTCCCACTGACACCTAGAAGCTGAGAGCCTTCACCTTGTGAAAGGGGCACTGTAGCTTGAGGGTGTAGTAGGGTGAACAAGGAAGACTGTGGCTGAGTCTTGGTGGGCAGATTGTGTTCTTATTCTTGCCCCTAAGCGCTTTCATCTCCTTCAAGTCTGGGAATATCAGGGTCTTGTTTCTTTCCTGGAAAGAATAAAGTACGTTGTTTCAGTTTTCATTGTGTTATAATTAAGGTTGCTGTTGATGCTGACGTCAGCTGTTTCTGAAAGACCCCTGGAGGCTCAGGCCCCCAGGATCTCTGTCCAGGGCCTCGATGACCCCAATCACCAGGTGGAGTCGAAAGCTTGATGCAAACAGCATGAGGTTTTATTGCAGTTGTTTAACAAGCTAACCCCATGTTAGCTCTGGCCTTTCATCTACCCACCATGGCAGGTGGCTGGGGAAAGACACTGAGAAGCCAAGGCATAGAGATCTTATAGGGCAGCATAAGGGAAGTGTCTAGGAGTACGGACAGGCTCAGGATTGGTGTGCCTCCAGGCTTGGAGGACTTGTCCTGGGTTGATTGGCCAACTGGTTGTTATGGCCCTTAGTCCCTCCCAGGGTTGTTGCTGTGCTCTGCACGTCATTGCTATGCACTTGTCTGTAAAGCACACCCAGAGCTGTAAAGCATAGCACCACTAAATTCTGATTGGTTCCTTGACACAAGGCAGGCATCTGACCTCCTAGTGACCAAGGCAAGGTCAGGCAAACACGTGTTAGGCTGCTGAAATGGGGAGCTGGTCCCTTCATTTCTAGTTCTCCCGGGCCTGCCTGATAGGTTAGCATACTGAATTGTCATTATGAGGCTCAGGGATGCTCAGACATCAGAAGTTGAAGAATCGTAAGGGGTGGGAGGAGTATGGTGTTAGTTGGAATAGAGATGGCTCATGGGGTCCAAAGCCACCACCATCCATTCAGCTCAAGAAATATTAACTTGAATTCCTGTCCACAAAAGTAGGGCATCATGTGAGCCTCTCACATCCATATGGATTCACAGAAAGCTCACATTTCTCTTCGCCACTGCTGATGATGGATGATAAATTTCTGCCTTTTGCACAGGTCTCGATCCCTATTTCACACTGTGTTTCTTTCTTGTGATCTTTCTTTTTCTTTCCCTGGGGCTCTGCTTGGCTGAACTGACCTCTTTATTGGTAAGAATTCCATTGATGTTCGTGCTGTTTACCCAGGCTTAATGAAGGTCTGGTGTAAGCTAGAGGTCTGCAGTGCAACACAGTAACAGCTTAACATGGACCTTCAGCATCTCAACCTCTCATCTCAACTCAGTGGCTCTCACGGCTCTCGGAAATGTTCATTGACTGTTTTTGTGTTCTACTCAGGTAGCAACCCTCTGCCACATGGCTGGCCGCTCTGTATCTCCAGCTTGACTCCAACATCCATCCCCTTTCCCATTCCTTCTACTGCAGAGCTTGTTAAATGCGGATCACCAAACCTTCTGGTCTCCTCATGTATAACACAGGCTTTTACAAACCCCAAGCAGTTGTCTGTCTGTCTGTGGGGAATGAATGCTGAGGCCACTCAGACTTTAACCTAAGATGTTATTTCCTTTGATGATGATGATGCACGCAGTCACGGTTGGCACAAGGGCACAGTCCTCCCAGCCATTTTCAAAGTTGTACTGCGGAAGAAGCCTGATAGGCTGTAGTGACTGAGTTCAAGGTCAGAATGGTCAATTTTGCTGAACTAGTCTCAAAATAAAATAATAATAAGAAAAAAAGTCTGGAAATGTAGCTCTCTGGTAGAGTGCCTAGCATATTCAAAGGACTGGGTTTGTTTCTATTACTGGAAAAATAAAAATAAAAAAATTAAAATAAAATAGAGAGATGGACACATTCTA